ATTGAAAGACCATACTCACAGAGCATTTATGAGTTGTTCACTGTCAAACTAGGAGAGTGTATCTAGTGGGATCCCTAAGGTGTCAGTTCTGGACCAGGCACTATTCAGTATTTTCACTAATGAATTGGATAAGGGAGTGGGGAGTATGCTTATAAACTTTGCAAATGGCACCAACCTGTGAGGGGCTGCAAGTACTTTGGAGGCCAAGACTGGTACTGAAAATTACCTTGACAAATTGGAGAACTGCTCTGAAATCAACAAGATAAAATTCAATAAAGATAAGTTCAAAGCTCTTCACTTAGGATGGAAAATGCACAACTACAATATGGGGAATAACTAGCTAGGCTAGGTAATAGTAGTATTGCTGAAAAGATTTGGGGATTATAATGCTTCACAAATGAGTCAACCTGATGCAGCAATGAAAAAGGCTAATATTCTGGGGTATATTAACAGGAGTGTTGTATGGAGGTAACTGTCTCCCTTTACTCAGCATGGGTGAGGTCTCAGTTGTAGTACTGTGTCCAATTTTGGCTGCTATGCTTCAGGGAAGATGTGGATAAACTGAAGAGAATGCAAATGAGAGCAATGAAAATGATAAGTTTAGAAAACCTGACCAGTGAGAAAACTGGGCATGTTCAATCTTGAGAAAAAAAAGACTAAAGAGGGATCTAATAATTGTTTCAATATGTCAAGGGCTCTTATAAAGAGGACGGTGATCAATTGTTTTCTGTGTTCATGGAAGATAGGACAAGAAGCAATTAACTTAATCTACAGCTTAGATATTTGGAAAAACTTGCTACTCTAAAGGTAATTACATTGTGGAATACCCATCATTGGAGGATAGACCAGGGATGGTCTACTTGGTCCTACCAGCATGCAGGTGGCTGAACATGATGACTTCTCAATGCACCTTCCAGCCCTATTTTACCAAAAGCACAACTGAATATTGAAATAGAACTGTACTTTCTCCCCAGAATAGGATGGTACAGCCATCTGTTTTAAGTTACACAGAGAGTTGCATGGGGAAGATGCATTGAAAGTTTTCTCTCCACTTGTCTTGTAAAGAAGACAACAGCCAGAACTATTTAGAGTCCTTCTTACAAACCTCCCAAATGACTGCATTATATGGCTTCCTGTTCGTATACATTTGAAATGAAAAATGATTGCATTACAGATGTCTGGCATATGATTTGCAGCTAGGGTAACTGTTTTATAAGACTGATGGACTAATTATTGAGTTTATCATTTTATTCTGATCTTTTAATAATAATGTACAGAAATGTGGAAGGGCAATTATCCAGGCACATAAAAAGCGATTAAAATGTGTAAAAGCTATTAATGTGTTGTAGTATCAGTGCAAAGTATAAAATGTGAGTGTTTAATGGGTCTGGAGGGCTACCCTATAGGAAACAGAAGATTGCTGTCCTTAATGGAGCCATAGCAGGTGGGAATGGGAACATTTTTAACAATAATTGCTTCTCCCTCTTCTTGTGCTTCTTGGAAATCCAGAGTTGTATAATGGGGATGGAAAAAAAACAACACACCATTCAATGTTGTCATGCAGTCAGCAGTCCCTTAAATGACTGCAAGAATTAGAGTGATCCTGAACAGTTAGGATAGGCAGCACAGGCTGTGTTAACAAGGGAGAACTACAGGTACCATATATGTGATAAATGTGTAGTTTCTCTGTCATGATTTATCAACACTATGCGTAAGACCTGAGCAGTGGGGTGTTTTCTGTTGACCTGTATGGGAACATCTACACAGCAGGGCTAAAGCCAAAATAAGCTATGCAACTGGAGCTACATCAATTACATAGCTTAAGTCAAAATAGCTTATTTCAGCTTTTGGCACTGTCTACACAACAGGAAGTTCAAGTTAAAGCATTCTTCCTCTGACTTCCCTTATTCTTCGTAAAATGAGGGTTACAGGAGTCAGACTAAAAAGTCCTACAACTTGACATTATAGGTCTTTCAACATTATGTAGAAATAACTGCTTGCTGTGTAGAACGTGAACCATGTTATTTTGGAATAACGTTAGTTATTCAAAAATAATGTTGCTGTGTTGACAGTCTAAGAGTTTAACTCAACAGGAGGCTCTCTGGGAAAACATGTCAGAAGGAAAAGAATAGGTCGAGATAGCCACCTCTCAGAAAACACTGAAGACCTGTTATGGGACAATGCAAGAACTATTATTAGCTTTGGTGATTTTGCCTCCTCTCCAGCCAATCTACCCAAATGGTTCTTACCAGGACAGGATAAGACCCACAAACACAGGACAAACAAAAGAACTGTCAGAATCAAAAGGGACCCTCTCTAAATTCCATCCCAGCAAGGTAAAGGCAAAAGACCTAACATGTGAGAGAGACCAGAAAAGGGACAGAGGTGCAGACTGTCCTATAATCTGATCATAGGCATCCAGTAGTCTCAATACAGAATCCCTTCTATGTGCATTGCTAGTGAGTCTTGTGTCTTCTCTATAAGAGTCAATACAAACATCTTTTGCCACAAAGAAATTCATGAAGCAGAACCTCACAACCTCTTGTAGAAAGAACGACAACATCTGAAGAAGCGACGAGGAGTCCTGTGGCACCTTATAGACTAACTGAAGTGTAGGAGCATAAGCTTTCGTGGGCAAAGACCCACGAAAGCTTATGCTCCTACACTTCAGTTAGTCTATAAGGTGCCACAGGACTCCTCGTCGCTTCTTCAGATTCAGACTAACACGGCTACCCCTCTGATACTTAACATCTGAAGAGTTCTACACTACTAGCAGCTACAGTTCTAGCCTCTCCTTACCACTTTCCCCACAACATAGCAGTGAGGAAATGAGAAAGACGTATCGGTGAATGGGAATTCAGCGCTCAAATGAGATTCCTTCTTACTCAGAAATAGAATAGTTTACCTCCCAACCTATGCAAAGCTCCAGGGAACCACAAGCTGATGATTCCATGAAGAACTCATCTGCACATTAACCTGTCCAGATTTTGGTCTAGTTTAGCCAATTCTTTTTAAAATCAAGAGGGAAGGGCCACAGTAAAAACAGAGAACGAGAAAAATCCTCACAAGATACAAAAGGAGGGCATATGAATAACAAGGTGCCTGAGGTTTCAAAATTAGTGCCACTAACATTACTGTATAACATTACAGAAGGTGCTGTTCAAATAAATGCCTGCATACAGCATGTTAGGTGTATCTCAAAGGGTTAAGAGAAGTAGATCTTGCTCAGCATAAAACAATGGGGATTCTTGCCTGGGATCAGACTGCATGACAAGGCTATTAGAAGTACTAGTTTTCGGACAAGATATCAAACTAAAGTGATAATGGAAAATCCCACACCATATTATTTAAATAAAGGAGACATGCCCTACCTACATTTCCCCTCATAAAACAGTATTGAATGTGCATATCTGTCTGAGAGTCATTGCTGAGCAAACAATGATTAGCAGGTTTGCCTGTGCAGTCATGACAATACCAGTAACTATTGCATTCACCTTGAGAATGAAATGAGCTACAAGTAAACCAATTTTTATTTTAGAAATACAGATTATGCAGTGCCATTTATCAACCCTAGACTCAAATCTGTCAACCATTGTGTAAGAATTATGATGTCAATCTAACATGTGGGACCTTTCTTTTTCTGGGCTGGAATGAGATGAAATGCAATATGCATTTAGACAGTATCCACGTGAGTAGCTTTGGCTCTCTTGAAAGACTCAGACCAAACTGAGCTCTGAGCTCCTGTCTCAAAGTACAACCTATCTTTAAGCAGGAAACTGTTGTCACACTTATCTCATACATATATTAACACTTTGTCTAATAGCTTTACAGTTATTTCAGTCATCCAAAAAAAAAATCCCTCCACAAAACGCTCGGCAAAAGAGTTTTGAAAGCTGCATAACTTGTTTACTTGATTCTTCATTGCAATCCAAGCAAAAGGCTTCATTCACCCTTGTCTCCTTTGATGCATTTAACTCACCTTTCCTGCCCCTTCATATGTTCTGAGATCTTGCCTGCCTAGAATCCTAGAACTGAAAGGAACCTCGAGTAGGGATGTAAAGAGTTAACCGGTTACCTGGTAAGCATTGCCTTATCTGCATGCTTACCAGAGTAACCAGTTAACTGGTGCCTGGCCTGACAGGAGCAGCCCCTACCTGTGGCACATCATTTAGTTGAGCCCTGAATGGAAAGCGCTGCATGATGGAAGATCCCTAGTAGTTGGACTTCAAATTGCCTTTATATTTTCACAGAATTGGGTTTTACCTGTAACAAACTTAACACTGTAAGAGAACCAAGAGACGTGTGTTCCTTATTTTAAATACTGTCAGCGCAGGAGAAACCTAACAACTATGCAAATACAGTAGAATCAACAGCCCCATGAAAGAACTAGGCAGTTATGATGAATGCCTCTTCCACAAGGAGCTTCGACTGGAGCAGCGGGCACGCAACGCTCCCTTAGCCGTTCAACGTCCTTCAAGGGGAACAGCGCCAAGGCCTTCCCCGCACTCACCTCACCTCTCCTCCTCCTCCCCCTCCCCATCTCGCCTCTGCCTCAGCCTTACGCATGCGCGCTGCTGGTAGGCCGGATCATACCATTCCTCTAGGGTGTGTGTGAGGGCAATCCCAGATTTGCTTCTGTCCCTGTCAGGAGGTACGGCTCCGCACATCCCGAGCGAGGTACACTGAGGACGGTGTGAGAGCTTCTTTACGCAGATCCAAGCAGGCCACGTTCCCGGCTTTTGCTCTTTTCCGTTCATTTCCAGCTTCCCCCCTCCGAGGGAAGAATAGTTCGCCCCCAGACCGGTCTCTGCCTCTGGGGGCCGGTAGGGCCGCCATTTTGTCAGCGGCGGCTGTAGGAAGGTGGAGGTGTCTGTAACCCTTTCGCCCCGTGTAAGGCCCCCTTCCCCAGCCCGGTGAGCAGAGCAGAGTTAGAGGGCTTTTGCTCTTTTCCGTTCATTTCCAGCTTCCCCCCTCCGAGGGAAGAATAGTTCGCCCCCAGACCGGTCTCTGCCTCTGGGGGCCGGTAGGGCCGCCATTTTGTCAGCGGCGGCTGTAGGAAGGTGGAGGTGTCTGTAACCCTTTCGCCCCGTGTAAGGCCCCCTTCCCCAGCCCGGTGAGCAGAGCAGAGTTAGAGGCAATGGCGTTCCCAGCCCCAACCGCGGCTGGGCCTGTCGGAGCGGGTCGGGAGCCGGGGGGAGTTAGGCCCAGCCCGGAGCTCGAGAGCGGCTGGGCCTGACGGGGCGGGCAGAAGCGCGCGCGGAAGGGCTGGGTGGCGAGGCCTAGCTGCCCGCGGGAGGGGGTGGTGGTTATAAACTAGGCCTCATTTAGGGGTAGCGTATCGGCAGGCCATCTAGTCTGGTCCTCACCCCTTTCTCCGGGTAATGGTTTGGTCCTGACTCCCTTCCTCTGTGGCCTGACCTCTGCTCCCTGTCTCCCCAGTGTGACCAGGACATTTACCCCCCTCCACCTGAGAAATGGTTGGGCCTCTGCCCTCGCATTGTCTGATCCTTGCTCCCCTATGCTTTACCCCCCCACCCCCCGCCCCACTCTACTTTGGTCTGGTCCTTGGCTTTCCCCCTTCTTTTTCGCTTCCCAGCAGTACCTGTTGGCTCATCCCTTCTACCCCGTCCCACTCAGGGGTGCGCCTCGCCTCGCCCCCTCAGTGGGGTGATTGGTGAGATCAATGCAAATTGTAAGCAAACCCTTTATTCACACCCTTTCCTTTCCCAGCACTCCACTTACATGTCACCTTGCACTTCGTTGTGAGAACGTAACACACACAAAGCTTAGAGAAGATAAAATGCAACCTCACTTGATAGTTTCCTTATGCCTAGCAAAAAAAGTATTGTCGGTGTTTTACAGAGAAACTAGGATTAAAAATAAAATTGGAGTAAAAAATTGCTGATCTCCTCCCTGCTTTTTTTGTTACTCTATTAGTAAAATCCAGCAAAGATGTCCGAATACATCCGTGTTACTGAGGATGAGAACGATGAGCCCATTGAGATCCCCTCAGAGGATGATGGCACTGTGCTGCTATCCACAGTTACTGCCCAGTTCCCTGGAGCATGTGGCCTGCGTTACAGGAATCCAGTGTCTCAGTGTATGAGAGGAGTCCGGCTAGTGGAAGGAATTCTGCATGCCCCAGATGCTGGCTGGGGAAATCTGGTCTATGTTGTTAATTATCCCAAAGGTTTGTTTTTGTTCCATGAATATTTGGTACAGCCATGCTTTCTTAATTACAAGGAATTTTACATCAAGAGCTAGAGATTCCTTATTTTTTGTTTTCCTCTTGTCAAACCATAGCACAACTACAAATTAGTCCTTTTCACATGAATATGTGTGCCTGACCCACAGAGTGATTTTGAGCGTTCTCAAATTCATGAGAGTATTATTTAGTATAATTCTACAAGGTGCTTTACTAATAAAACTTTACCTTACTTTTTGTAAGACTTTTAACAATCTCACAGAGTTATCAAAGGTCCTATCCTACAGTGAGTTTTGTGCAGAGCTAAGGTTTGCCCACGTGAAATTGCATGATTAGAACCAATGACATCAGTGTTGTAAGAGAAGGTGTGGGAAAGGTGAAAGATGACCAAAAAAAGAAAAAAAAGAGTAAGGAGAGCATTTTTCCGTTTTCATTTGAGTAGCCATTTTTCAAAGTATATATAATGCATACAAAATCTGGTCAGGCATGTGAATGTTATTTGGCAGTACTTCAATGGAAAACATGCTGAAAGTGTGTTTTTAGATGCATTTGTGTCTGCCTGTCTTCTGAACTTCTATCCCAATACTGTAGGGCAGTTGGATGTGTATTATAACATTTATAATA